CTCTGGTTTCGCAAAAATAAAAAAAAAATATTGATTCTTTTGACTTGCATGTGTGCATTGAATAAGAACGACCGCCCTGCAGTCTTAAAGCGATTTTGTTGTGGAGTCCGTGGCGTGGTGGTACTGGGCCTACGAGGCCTGCTTCCAACTCTGAAAGTGCCGGATTCAATGTCGGCGAAGAGCAATTTTCGTCTGAACTATGAATTTTTCTTGAGCATGGAATTTACCACCCTTTGCTTCAGACCGGGGTTCCTCAGTCGGTAGAGCATCGGACTTAGAACCAGAAGATCCCGGTTCGAATCCCGGTTCGAGTTATTCTCTTTCCTTCCTTCCGAGTTCGATGAATGATTACGACTCTATGGGAAAGAAACAGGAGATGACACACTATGCTTGTCACATAACTACTGCCGTTAAAATGAAAGACTCCCAGCTGACGGTATGTAAATGGAGATCAGCATCCCAATATTAACTTCACGATAAAGGGACACCCGAAATGGTCCCGTCATAAAAGCGTAAGGAAGGCCGGCATCTCAACGGTTACAGACTTTCACTTTTACTAGATTTGTTGCAGAGTCTAACTTAACGTATGACTCATTTACTTCACAAGAGTTCTGTGTTGGTCGTAAGTGTTCAGGTTGTTACCAGAGAAACACGACATTTCTTGGGTGCTTAAAAGTAGTCGTTGAAATTTCAAATGGACGTTGAAAGGTAGGTCGTATGATACCATTGCTAAGTGGTTCCGAATCCTCTATCGGCAACGATGGTGTCCTTTGGTCTATTGTAAGCGATAACGCAATAGTGAGACAGAACAACTGTTCATTTAAGAGTCATGGTGGCCGCATGCGTTCTGTTAGATGTCTGCAATTATGATATGAAGGTTGTCAGTCCCAGATGGCGAGCGTTGTTCAATTATGCACTAGGTCGAGGCTTAGGCTGCCGTTGAAACCGTTCCTTTGTCACGGTACTCAGCTGATGCCAATCAGCTTCCTTAAAACTGTTTTTATGAAGTTCATTATTTCACTGTTTCTTCCGTATAAGTTTTCTCGGTGAATGAGTGCACTGTCAAGAATCAATCTTCAACGTCTGGTATTCACAGCATGTTTGATTTTCGAATAGCAGATATTGATGTTTTGCGCCTTCTTGGCGTTAATCTTCCAGAAATGGCAAGTTCGCAGTACGGTTTCACCCCCAGTTTTACTTTTAGGATTTTGGAATTTTCGTCATATTTATCTCCCTGTCACGTTATAGTGTCAGAGACCAAGATTCCCTCAGTTACTCAAGAATCAGAAGGCGTTGGGGCGGATAAGCTTATTGATCGATAATTTTGCACTTGGTGACCTCATGATACGACAACTGAACACCCGGTTGCACCACTCTTTTAAGTATCAAGAGAACTACTTCTACTTTTCTGGGAAACGATGATAGGTTCGTGTTTGATGAAATAGGGCAAGGAGCCCGGGAAACTTTGACTTACGCGGCAGGCTTTCTTTACGTTGAGGTGTTGCACGGCCTTTTGGATTTCTAATTTAATTGATATTGAAGCAGAATTATCGGTCAGAAATGGCGAATCTCGAAAGCAAATATTGAGCAGCTGTCTGAAATGTCCAGTCAGTCTTTTGAGGCGTTCCTTCTGACCTGCCAATAGGACGCCTGTGACGTCCTGGATCGGGGCAGAGCGAGTCTCTTGATTACCGGACAGATGTCGATCCCCTATGAACACTGTCCATCAGTCACTTTCTGGTTGCATTATCGACCTTTCTGATTTCCCTCTCCAGACAATTCCCTATCCCGCCCGTAGCTTCGGCTGACTGTTCGAACGAAACGGGAATAAGCTGCTTTTACTGGTGCAGCAGTTGTTGTAAATACCTGTTTTGTGCCTTATATCTTTGAACTCCAAGAGAGAGGGTCTTCTACGTAACCCAGGGTAGTTTGGCTACCGTCTTCCTAACCCCAACTACGTTATTCACTAAGGAAATGACATCGGCTTTAAGGCTTTGTCAACTTCGTCGATTTTACCACTTTCAAAATGGGCACTAGAATAACTCTTTATCCAACGTTGGTAGATCGACTGCGTCGCTTCGTCATATTTTAGCATGTGAACATCTAGCAACAGGTGTGATATAACAAGACGAACGTCAATGCGGCACGGTCAATTTTAGATTATTCTCCACTACGTCTATATAGTGGTCGCACCAAATGCATGTACAGCCCCTAACGCGAGTCTCGAGTAACGAGCTGCACTATTTGCAGCCGATGAGAACGTTCTACA